CTCTGAAGCAGTTAGAAGTCACTGAAAAGAAAACAGAGAGCCCAGCCAGTGTGGTTCAGTGGATTGAGCATTGTCTCATGGACTGAGAGGTCCTGGTTCCATTCCTGCTCAGGGCACATGCCTGGGTTGCAGACTCGATCCCCAGTAGGAGGCATGCAGAAGGTAACCAATCAATGTTTCTCTCTCCCCTTCTCTCTCTCTCTAACAGAAAAAGAAAACAGAGAAATCCCAAAGACAAATTTTGACTCAAGACTAAATTACATTGTCTCAAGTGGGCTAAATCTTTTTGAAAATAATGAAATGTGCCTATATTTGATAAAAAAAAATTTGGGCTTAAGAAAATGTGGGTTCAAAAAATTCTGATTCTTGAAATTCCAAAATGGTGGCAGAGTGAATGGAAGCTATACAGACCATGTCCCAGGACCAAACTGAAATTACAACTAAAATAAAGAAAAATCATTGGGAAAAGGCAACAGATAAGCAGCTTGGGAGGACCATATAACCAGGGACACTGAATCAATCCTGGTAGAACTGTGGAGGTGAGAGGGGGGCTGGGAGCCAATGGACAGCAGTGGTTTTAGCTGTGAGAAGCATCCTGGGGGCTCAAATCCCAAGCCCACTTCACAGCACAGAGGGCCGGGACAGAGTGCTAAAATAGCCAGAGACACTCACGTTGGGCCCCAGCAGAGGGAGGGCAGACTGGACTGAAACTGTGTGGGGATACTTGGGATTTTGCTTTTGCTGAGTTGCAGGCACACCGGATGGTGGCCATCTTACTCCTTCTCGAGGCTCTAGGGAAAGACAGTGGCCCCTCCCTCAGGGATTCAACCCCACCCAGGTAGGTCACTTAAAAGCAATTTGAGACTCATTAACAACCAGCCTCTGCCCTACCCTCAGAAAATCCTTTTATGCTGAACACCTGAGAGAGTTTTTCATTTAACTGAAGAGAACCCAAGGCTCTTCAAGAAACTGCGATTAACAGCCTCCAGGCCAAGAGCTAGAGGATAACTGAACCATTGCTGGGCTTGCAAATCTACCCAGGAAAGTAAGACTTGACAGTGGTGTATAGCGTGGGTACTCCCACGCCCATGCAAACCCAGTAGAGGGAGCCACAAACAGCAGAACACCAACACCCACAGGGAAAATTTGCCAGGCTCCAAAACCCACTGAGATAGCCAACATGGTGAAACAAAAAAAACAAATCCCAAATGAAAGAACAAGAGACCTCTACTGAAGATGAGATAAATGAAATGTAGCTAAGCAAGTTATCAGAGGTGGAATTCAGAGCCATGATCTTGAGGAAGCTCAACAGTATGAGTAAGGACATCAACACTATTAGTAAAGACATAGAAACATTGAAAATCAACCAATTGGAAATAAAAAACCACCAGGAAGAAATAAAGAATGACATAGCAGAAATAAAGAACATATTGGAAAGTCTAAACAGCAGAGTAGAAGAATCTAAGGACCGGATCAGTGAATCAGAAGACAGGGTAAAAAAAAAATTAACCAATCAGAAAACCAAAAGGAAAAAAAATTAAAAAACAGGAAGACAGCTTAAGAGAACTCTGGGACAACTGGAAACATAATAACATTTGCATCATAGGAGTCCTCAAAGAAGAAAATCAGCAAGGGTTAGAGAATATATTTGAAGAAATAGTGACAGAAAACTTTCCTAATATGGTGAAGGAAAGCATTCAAGTTCAAGAAGCACAGAGAGCCCCAACTAAGCAGAACCCAAACAGGCCCACACCAACACACATAGTAATTAAAATGCCAAAATTTAAAGACAAAGAGAGAATCCTAAAGGCAACAAGAGATAAGCAACGCGTTACCTACAAAGGAACCCCCATAAGGCTCTCAGCTGACTTCTCAACAGAAACACTACAGGCCAGAAGGAATGGCATGAGGTAATCAAGGTCATGAAAAATAAAGATCTGAATCCAAGACTACTCTACGCAGAAAGGCTATCATTCAAAATAGAAAGTCAAATAAAGAGCTTCCCAGACCAAAAAAAAAAAAAAAGGCTAAGGAATACATTAGCACCAAACCAGCACTGCAAGAAATGTTAAAAGGACTGCTATAATTAGTAGAAGAAATAGGATGAAAAATATAACCACACTAAACAAAAATGGCAATAAATAAGTACATATCAATAATCACCTTAAATGTAAGTGGATTGAATGATCCAATAAAAAGACACAGAGTAGTTGATTGGATAAGAAAGCATGACTCATATATATGTTGTTTACAAGAGACCCACCTTAAAACAAAAGACTCACATAGGTTGAAAGTAAAGGGAAGTGAAAAAATCTTCCAAGCAAACGAAAAGGAAAAAAAAAGCTGGGGTAGCAATACTCATGTCTGATAAAATAGATTTCAAAATGAAGGCCATAACTAGAGACAAAGAAGGCCACTACATAATATTGAAAGGATCTATCCAACAGGAAGATATAACCTTGGTAAACATATATGCATTCAATATAGGAGCACCAAAATATATTAAAAATATTCTGGAGGACTTCAAAGGAAAAATTGGCAGCAGTACAATCATAGCAGGGAACTTCAACACCCCGCTGACATCACTGGGTTGATCCTTTAGATAAAAAATTAACAAGGAAACAGAGACACTAAATGAAGCGCTAGATCAAATGCATTTACTAGATATCTACAGAGAACTACACCCCAAAACTACAGAATTCACATTCTACTCAAGTGCACGTGGGACATTCTCAAAGATAGACCACATGGTAGGACACAAATTAAGTGTCTACAAGTTCAGGAAGATTGAAATCATATCAAGCATCTTTTCCGATCACAATGGTGTGAAACTAGAAATCAATTGTAACAAGAACATGCAAAGACATTGAACACATGGTGGCTAAATAGCATGTTATTAAACAACAAATGGGTTACCGAGGAGATCAAGGAAGAAATTAAAAACTTCCTGGAAACCAATGAAAATGAACACATAACACAAAATCTATGAGATGCAGTGAAAGCAGTTCTGAGAGGGAAGTTCATAGCACTACAGGCCTACCTCAAGAAACAAGAAAAATTTCTAATAGACTATCTAACCTCACAACTTAAAGAACTAGAGGGCAAACAAAAAGAAAACCCCAGGGCAGGAAATAGTAAAGATCAGAGCAGAAATAAATGACATAGAGACCAAAAACAAAACGAAACAAAACAAAACAAAAACAATTCAAAGGAACAATAAAACAAAGAGCTGGTTTTTCAAAAAGATAAACAAAATTGAAGGACCCTTAGCTAGACTCACCAAGAAACAAAGAGGGAGAACCCAAATATACCAAGTCAGAAATGAAAGAGAAGTAACAACTGACACCACAGAAATACAAACGATTGTTAATAAATACTATGAACAATTATATGGCAACTAATTTGACAATCTAAGCGAAATGGACAAATTTCTAGAAACACAGTCTCCCAAAACTGGACTGGGAAGAGACAGAAAACTTGAACAGACCAATAACAACTAAGGAAATTGAAGAGGTAATCAAGACTCTCCCACAAAGAAAAGCCCAGGTACAGATGGATTCATGGGGGAGTTTTACCGAACATTCAAAGAAGAACTAACACCCATTCTCCTCAAACTATTTCAAAAAATTCAAGAAGGAAGACTTCCAAACTTGTTTTATGAGGCCAGCATAATTCTAATTCCCAAACCAGAAAAAGACACTACAAAGAAAGAAAACTACAGACCAATATCCCTGATGAACATAGATGCCAAAATCCTGAACAAAATATTAGCAAATTGGATCCAGCAATACATCAAAAAAATTATTCACCATTACTAAGTGGGATTCATCCCAGAAATGCAAGGCTGGTACAATATTTTACAAATCAATAAAAGTGATACATCACATAAACAAAATGAAGAATAAAAACCACATGATCATATCAATAGATGCTGAAAAAGCATTCAACAAAATCCAGCATCCATTTCTGATAAAAACACTCAGCAATGTGGGAATAGAGGGATCATATCTCGATATAATAAAGACCATATATGAAAGACCTATAGCCAACATCATACTCAATGGACAAAAATTAAAAGCTTTTCCCTTAAGAACAGGAACAAGACAGGGATGCCCATTTTTGTCACTCTTATTTCACACAGTACTGGAAGTCTTAGCCACAGCAATCTGACAGGAAGAAAAAATAAAAGGGATCCAAATTGGAAAGGAGGAAGTGAAACTGTCATTATTCGCAGATGACATGACCTATACGTAGAAAACCCCAAAGACTCATCAAAAATTTACTAGACCTAATAAATGAATTTGGCAAAGTAGCAGGATTTTTTTTTTTTTTGGAATGATCAAAGAGGTCTTTATAAAGTTTTTTTCATGACTTCATTCTAAATATACAGAATAAAAAATGGTGTCAACTCTTTCGTGAGACACCAACCAGATTTTCCTTATACTGTCTCAAAATTTAAAGATCAATTTCCCAAGAGGGTGTGCAATGCATCATAAAATGGCCTTTTTTTTTGTAGGTGGGAGGAAGGGCTGGGCAGGATGGCTTATTAAATTGTATCATGATAAGACATGCAAAACTGTTATCCCAACTAATATCTATATACATTTTGATGATTTAGAAAAACAGAGCGGTCATTTGTGGCAAGCCTAAAATGCTGGACATACTTAACATACTCAGGAACTTTTTTTGTGGTGTCCAGAATTCTTTAATTATAGTACGTGGGCCTTTTGCAAGTAACAAATAGAAAGCCAGTTTCCATAAAATTTGCTGCTGACCATCCCCAGTCCACCCTAATAAATACAGCTTGAACAGAATTGAGGGTGGATACCTTACCTTAACACACAAAGGAAAAAGTATGTCAGTGCAAAATATGGGCTAAATTGCTTTCGGAAAAAAAAAAAAAAATTAAATCGATAGAGGATGGAAAAGGGGAATTTTCTTTCCCTGTTTGGAGTCCTCCCAAATAAGGCAGAATACATCCACTCTAATTTCTGCTGGTGAAAACTTTTCCTGCTTATTTAGTTTTCTCCTCTGAGTTAAACCGCTGCTGGATTGTTTTGGCATAACTCTGTGCCATGGAGTTAATGATGGACAGGATGAAGTAACACACCATTGCAATGACCAACTTCTCAAACATCCAGAACAACCAGTTTTCTCCCTGAGGCGTGCCCATTTCACTCCGGTGGTGAAGCTTCTGTCGCTGGGCCTCCAGGTATTCCTGGAATGACTTCTGCAGAGATGAACCTATGCCGGGGACAGCAGTAATGAAAGCCACCATCTGTTCCACTATGTGTTTGCTGAACGTTCTTATAACAAAGATTTTCTGAATATGCATTTTAATTATTGCTTTTCCAATCAAGGTTGCACCAAAGAAAGTCCAAAAAGGTACAAGAAAGTGTCCACATGTTATTCCAGCCAGATCAAACAGAGGATTTGGACTTGAAGCACAGGCCAAAATTCCAAAAAATCCAATCTTCTGTACTAGGTTTTGAACTGCCAACTTAGCCCGGGAGGCAAAGTCCTGTGCAGCCTCTGCATGTTCCAGCATCTCTTCGAATTCCTAATACTCTTCATCATCTGGTTCTGCACCTGAGAGTCGAGCTGCTCTGGCCATGAAATATGGAGGCAGCTCTCTGATCGCTGTACCAACACCCCACACCTAACTTTTGAGATGATGCTCCACAAAGAAACAGATCCTTCAATGCCCTCTTCATCTGGACAAATAATCTGATCCGGATAGGGCGGTTCAGGGAAATTAACTGAATTGCACTCATAAGCAGCTAATGTAACTGAAGCTATATGTGGACCCAGATAAAGCAGAAAGGTGTGCAGCCTTGTTCCAAGCCCGTCAGAAGACAAAATTCTTAAGCCTATCCAGTAGGCATACAAAAGAAACTGTTTCTCTATACGTTGCACATACTGTTGATGTGCTCCTTCAAGATAATACATAGCTATAAGCACAGCAAGCAGCAGTAAACAAGAGACCACAATATTCTGATGATGCCATATTTTTGAGGTCCATTCCTTCAAGATTTCTAGGGTTTCCAGAGAAAAATACTGAATTAGTGGCTGTCTCCACAGGACAATATTCTGCCTTTCTTCCCAATCCCTCTTCTTCTTTTCATTCATTGAAGAGGGGTCTGTGAAGTTTCCATTATATTGTTCCTTGTTCATTGTTACACGTCTCTGGTCACAATTTTTTCTATTCTCTGCCGTTTCATAGATTAATAACTCTTGAGGAGCTGCTCTGACCCCGGCTTCTCTGGATCTCCAAAGTAGCAGGATTTTTAACGTCAAGAAATCAACCGTATTCTTATTATATACCAATGATGAACTCACAGAAAAAGAAACTAAAAAAATCCCATTTACCATTGCAGCAAAAAAATTAAGATACTTGGAATAAACTTAACCAAAAAAACAAAGGTCCTATTCGCAGAAAACTACAGGTCATTGAAAAAATAAATAAAGGAAGACATAAAAAAGTGGAAGCACATACCTTGTTCATGGATTGGAAGAATTAACATAATTAAAATGTCCATACTACCCAAATCAATCTATAAATTAATGTAATCCCCATCAAAATACCAATGACATACTTCACAGAACTAGAACAAATACTTTAAAAGTTCATATGAAACCAAAAAAGACCTCGAACAGCCACAGCAATCTTGAAAAAGAAGAACAAAGTTGGAGGGATCACATTGCCAGATTTCAGGTTATACTAAAAAGCCACTACAATCAAAACAGCCTGATACTGGCACATGAAGAGGCAGATAGATCAATGGAACAGAATAGAGAATTCAGAAATGGACCCAAAACATTATGCTCAATTAATATTTAACAAAGGGGACAAGAGCACACAGTGGAGTAAAGACAGCCTCTTTAATAAATGGTGTTGAGAAAATTGGACAGCTACATAAAAAAAAAAATGAAACTCAACAATCAACTTACACCATACACAGGAATAAACTCAAAATGGATAAAAGACTTAAATGTGACTCATGAATCCATAAAAATCCTAGAAGAAAATGTAGGCAACAAAATTTCAGACATCATACGCAGCAGAATTTTCACTGATACATCACCTAAGGCAACAGAAACAAAGGAGAAAATGAACACATGGGACTACATTAAACTCAAAAGCTTCTGCACAGCAAAAGATATAGTCATCAAAATGGAAAAGCAACCCACTGTATGGAAGAGCATAATTGCCAACAATACATCAGATAAGGGGCTAATTTCCATTATATATAGAGTGCTCATACAACTCAACAAAAGGAAGACAAAGAACCCAATTAAAAAATGGACAGAGGGCCCTGGCCGGTTTGGTTCAGCAGTTAGAGCATTGGCCTGCAGACCTGAGAGACCCGGGTTCGGTTCCCGCTAAGGGCACGTACCTCGGTTGCAGTTTGTCCCCGGCCCTGGTTGGGTTGTATGGGTGGCAACCACTCAATGTGTCCCTTTCACGTCGATGTTTCTCTCTCTCTCTCTCTCCCTCCCACTCTATCTGAACAAAATATCAAAAAATGTCCTTGGGTGAGGATTTAAAAAAAAATGGACAGAGGAACTAAATAGACACCTCTCCAAACAGGACATACAAATGGCCAAGAGACATATGAAGAAATGCTCAACATCACTAATCATCAGAGAGATGAAAATTAAAACAGCAATGAGGTATCACCTCACACCTCTCAGAATGGCCGCCATCAACAAATCATCAAACAAGTGTTGGCGAGGGTGTGGAGAAAAGGGGACTCTAGTACACTGCTGGTGGGAATGCAGACTGGTGCAGCCACTATGGAAAACACTATGGTGTTACCTCAAAAAATTAAAAATTGAATTGCCATTTGACCCAGTGATCCCACTTCTAGGAATATACCCTAAGTAGCCTGAAACACCAATCAGAAAGAATATATGTACCCCCATATTCATAGCAGCACTATTTACAATAGCTAAGATCTGGAAACAGCCCAAGTGTCCATCAGTAGATGACCGGATAAAAAAGCAGTGGTACATATACACAATGGAGTACTATACAGCTGTAAGAAAGAAAGATCTTTTATCCTTTGAGACGACATGGAGGGACCTGGAGAGTATTATCCTAAGCGAAACAAGCCTAGCAGAGAAAGACAAATATCACATGATCTCACTTATTTGTGGAATATAATGAACATAACAGTCTGAGGAACAGAGTAGACCCAGACACATGGAAGTAGGGTACAGACTGACAATCCTCAGAAGAGGGGGTGGGGGGGAGGGAAGAGATAAACCACAGAACTTATATGCATGTACGCATAACCGATGGACATGGACAACAAAGCTGGGGACAGGGTGGGGGGCATGGGGAGGAGGGTGTCAATGGGGAAAAATGGAGAAACATCTTTAACAAAAATAAATTAATAAAGAATTCTGATTCTTTCTGTACTAATTGTATAGATTGAAAATGTAAGTGACAAACATGAAAGATGACTCTTCAAAGATCATTTTTAAAATTCTGAACTTTTGAAAAGAAATCTCTATTTAAAAAATATATTCATATGCAGCTTCTAGAGGGAAGCCCTGACAAAGATCTTGCCACAGGAAGGAAAGACAGTGAAATAACAACTCAAATTTAGGCCCAATTACATAACACAATGCTAGCAAATTGAAATGATTATTTTATTCTTATAAACTGCAAATCATAAATTAACTATGTATGCAATTATATTATTGTACTTGAATTCAAATCTCAGTTGAAATCTTACAAGGAACCAAAGCTATGTTTAGGACACAGACTTTGAAATAGGCAAATCTGTATGTGAATCCTGATGATTTGGGTGGCTTTCTTTTTTTTTTTTTTTAATTTTTTATTTATTAATTTGTTTTTGTTATAGATGTTTCTCATTTTTCCCTCATTGACACCCTCCTCTCCTTCCCCCCTGCTCCAGCCCCAGCTTTGTTGTCTATGTTTGGGTGGCTTTCTTAACCTCCAAAAGCCTCAGTTTCTCAATATAGACCATGAACAGAATTATGCTACTTCACAGAGTAATAAAAATGACATGAGACAATGTATAAGTATATAAAGAGTTTGGCTGTGCTTATCATATTGAGGCAGGATAGAAAGAAGTTAAGGAAAGTTCCTGACAAGTGAAATGAGGAGGTAGAAATGGACATCACTGGCCAAAGAGCCACTAGGTCCCCTCACCAGAGGCCCCACCTCCATGCATGATCAATGGGAAACAGTTTAGGTTCTGGCTAGGTAGTTTAGTTGGTTAGAGCATCGTCTTGTTAACTAAAGTTGTGGGTTCCATCCCCAGTCAGGGTATATATAAGAATCAACCAATAGCCCTGGCCGGTTTGGCTCAGCAATTGGAGCATCGGCCTGTATACCAGAGAGTTCCGGGTTCAGTTCCCGCTGGGGGCGCGTACCTCTGTTGCGGTTTGTCCCGGCCCCGGTTGGGGTTGTGTGGGTGGTGACCACTTGATGTGTTTCTCTTGTATTGATGTTTCTCTCTCTCTCTCCTGCTGTATCTAAAGATAAATGCAAACAAGCAAACAAAGAAAACGAATCAACCAATGAATGCAAAAATAAATGGAACCAAAAATTGATGTTTCTCTCTTTCTCACTTTCTCAAAAGTCAATCAATACTCCCTGAATGGTTTGTCTCAGCAGTCAGAACATCTCCAAAGGGTCACAGGTTTGATTCCTGGTCAAGGGCATGTACCTGAGTTGCAGGCTCGATCCCTGGCCCCGGTCAGGGTTGTGCAGGAGGCAACCAGTCAATGTGTCTCTCTTACAATGATGTTTCTTTCTCCTCCCCCCCCCACCTCCCTTCCACTCTATCTAAAAATCAATGGAAAAATATCCTCTGGTGAGGATTAACAACAACAAAAAATCAATCAATACATTTTTTTTAAAAAAGGGACAGTTTATGGTAGTAAATTCCTGCTGTGGTCACAGAAGTCAACAACAAGAACGGACTAAAACAGATTAATCCAAAATGGAGGAAAACTTGACCAGAAAATGACCCCAAAGCTCACTCTACCATCATTATAATGAAAATTGACACCACAAGTAGAAGGTGGACCGAGGTGGCAGAATGCCATGAACTTCCAGAACAGACCATATTAGGAATAAGACCCTCTCCCAACCAGAAGGTGGAGACAGAATGGCACCACAACGTTTAGGAACAATTTACCCTTGAAAACAAATAAAATCCCAGGAACTAACTGTAACTCACTGGTGAGTTAGCCTAGGTGCATGCGAACATGACTTTCATTTCTTTCACAGGGGTGCCCACAGGGGAGCGGGCAGTCACAGCTTGTCGGCTCACCCCCTGATCTTGTCTCCAAGCACTTGCTATCTGGACTCTTTCTTTCAACCTAAATAAAACTTGCTTTCACTTTCACTTAGATTTGTTCTTGAATTTTTTCCTTTTGAGAAGTCAAGAACCTGCAGATCATGGAGTGCCTAGGGGCCTCGTTTTCGGGTCTGCCTCTGGTGACAATATGAGGGTTCAAAAATGGTAATAATTGTTAAATAAATGAAACTATTGCCTTTAAACACTTAAAAGTATTTCTTAAAAATTTATTTCTCCATTAGATTTGCTCTTCAATGTCACTGAGTTCCCCCCCTCCCTTATCCATAAGAAGAATATTTAAACATATTCTAATTCTTCCTAGTCAAACTTAGTAAAAATATGTTCCTTAGGTACAGAGATTATCGCTTTTTCTCCTTCCACATTCTTTTCATATTGGAAGAATGATTTCCTTTCTCCTCCCTTCTTCCTGAAGGAGACTAAAAGTTTTTCCTATTGGGATATTGATTTTAAGCTGGTTATTCATATTTAGAAACAAAAGACTGAGAAAACCTTTGACCCCTTTCCTGCCCAAGAGATTCAGACAGAAAAACCTGCTTCAGAAAGGAAATCTTAGGATGTTCCCCTTAGCCTAATTTTAATTAAGTATGGTGAACAGGAGGGCAGGCAGGGTCTGTTAGCTAGGTGTCCCATTGTTTCTGGGTTCCCTAGCAAGAATTCGCTGCCATGTGTGTTCCGCTCTGCCTCAACTACCTGTAAATCACCCATTCTCACTTCTAAAATCTAAGATCCTGTCCCTGAACCCCTTTTTCCTTTGTCCAAAATGGCATACATACTCAATTTTGCCTCCCTGTTTTTGGAATTTTCATGCTTATGTGAATTCCCATGAACATGTATTAAAATTAAAATTTCTCCTGTTAATCTGTCTCTTAATTTGATTATTAGCTCAACTAGAATAACCTAGAAAGTAGGAGGAAAATTATTATATATGTTTATATATGTAACATATTATATATATGTATATGTGTGTGTGTGTGTGTGTGTGTCCCTATATCCCCTCTGCTTTTGTACACACCTAAGCTGGCTACTTAGTGTGAGTTCACACTCACTGCTTCTTCCTCTCTCTGTGTGGAGAGCTGAGCTCATTCATTATTGAAGAAGGGTAGAGTGTCATTCTTTTGTCAGTGTTTTGAAAGGATACTAAACAGGCATTTAATAAATTAAGCATCCATAAATATTGAATTATGTACATTTACCATTCTATTTTAATATTTATAAAGTTCTTAAGGCAACACTCACGTAGATAAATTTTTCCTGAGTGCTATATTTTAGGAAAGGCTTATTATATTCCTTTATTCTCCTCTTTTTTTTTTTCCCAGCTTAAAATTAGTTGTCTTCCAGATGCATGCACTCTTCAACTTACCTGAAGCAAAAGAATCACTAAAATCTTCTTAAATTCATTTTTGTCCTTTAATTTGAAAATTACAAGTTTTAATTTAGTTTATCTGGAGAAACTTGAATTGTTTAACACTGGGTTTTTACATGATTGTGTAGCAAGACAGAATAACCATAAGAATATATATTTGTCAGGAAAAACAGAGTACACATTTGGCAGCACAGCTTCTTTATATTTTCAAAACAAGATTAATCACACCGACCTGGTTTTAGGTAACTGTTTTAAAAAGAGGTAGGTGTTTTCCACAGACAAATTCCTTACTTAAAATTTTTATGTTCTCATTTCATTTTGTCTCTCTCTCTGTGATAATCAATTAAACAGAAAGTGAATTAAAAACTTCAGTCCCATTATGGATAGTCTTTAGGAGGATGGCTTTATGCAGTTTTGAAGGGGCACCTGAGCAAGCATTTTAATCCAAACCTTCAGGAGCCCTGGAGAAATTTTGGTGCCTATGATTTGCTCATGAAATTGCTGGTGTCACATACGTATGATGAGCACAGCCTCATGAGATCCTGCTCTGCAACCTCATTCCATGAAAATCGTGAATTTTAACCTGTCAGCCTCTCACTTTGTTTTTAACACACAGAAGCAAGTCTGTCACTGATTGTCCTCTTAAATGGCCACATTCAAGATGCTAAATTATGTTTCATCAAGAAATACAGATGTGGCAGAGCATGATCAGAGGAAACAGTCTGCCAAAAAAAAATTGCATGCTATGATTTACAATATTGAAAGGAATGATTCATACTCTTAAAAGATATATAATTGTGCTAATGTGAGTACCACAAGCACAGTGAATTTTACCTTTTGTTACTTGTATTCTAAGATGTATTCTAAGTTTTTAGAATAGTTTCTGGCACATATAGGTGTTCAATAAATATGTCAAGTGAATGAATGATCAAGACAATATAGATGAGGAAAAGGCATTATTTCTAATCCATTCTTATATTCCCTGATTCATGATTATTCGAGTCCTCTCATGAGTACAGATGCCTTGACTTACATTTTTAATTACATGAAGTAGTGTATCCTGTGATCCTAAGGAAAATCAACACAGAACAGGTAAATTTAAACTGGGGAAAGAAGTTGGGGTACTCATGATCTTACAGAATGAGGTACTAGGAACTGAAAATAATTTTTAGGATAGAGTGCCTGAGATACCGCCCAAAAGGCAAGGTGACATCAGGAAAGAAGAGGCAGACATACAAACAAACATTACCTACTTTGTAATTTTGCACAGGGTCGCCTGGAATCCTACACCACAAGCAAAGCATGTTTAAGTAAGTAGAGTACAAAAATAGACTGAGAAGTTCCTATACCTACTGATAAAACTATTGGACAAAAAAGATTAAATATACAATAATTGAAGAGAATTTGTTTTTATCTCAGACCAAAGTAATTTTAACTTACTTAAACATACCGCAACTAAATTTTAAAGAATCAAACATGTGACCTATTTTTATTTGCTGTTTCAGAACAGACTACTTTAAAAGATACGTTTATAACAAGCATACATCAGAGCAGTATTACATAAAATTGGAGGTAAACTTAAGGACTGACCATAATCCAGCTTCTGTCAATTAAAATGATAGCAAATCTTTTAGATAATAAATAAACTATGGAACAAAATACTAAGTCAATTTGATTAATAAAACTGGGGGCCAATAGTATATTATCTCTTTTTTTTTTTAACCTTTGCTTGAACTCACGATATCTATCTAGCCCATCTGTAGACATGTGTTACAATATTATATAACCAGAATAATTACACAGGCCTTCAAGATATATGTAAAAACCACAAGTATAATTTTCTAGACCGTGATGTTCTAGTATAGTCAAGTATTACAAAAAAACAAAAATGAGTAATATGTCATTGATGGGTATGACTCGTAGGACATTAGTCAATGCACTTTCCAGTAAGGAGTCTGATAAACAGATGTAATGGGAAACAGGAGAGATTTTTTTAGTAAAATTTTCAACTTCATATTTTTACTCTTGAGAGAAACATATGGTTCAATACTTAACAGACTTAGCAGTGGTAGGAAGCCTGTGAAACTGTTTGCAGCCACATCTTTAGGGTTTCTCTCAGAATTCTTTTAATGACTTCCTTTCTTCCTAATGCTAAATACAGATATAGCCCTCTTTTATTCATTTGTATCATTATTTATTATAATCAGTATGAATATTACCTAAAGGAAATTTTTATTTATACCTAAAAAAAAAAAAAACTACCATAGTTCAGTTGGACAACTTTTTTTTTTAAAGGAAAATATTACTACTTTTTGTTCTCCCAATTCTGCAAATGGTTTTGAAAATGATGCTAGTGCATACAAATTCCATCTTCCTTGGTTACTCTCACACTTTCAAATCTCATTTCCCTCTTTGCTAATCAGAACTTGGGCAAGCAGTCAAGAGCTGAACTAGCAACAAAGGTGACTGATGCTCAACCCTACAGTATTGAGCTACAGCCCTTTAAATCTCTTCTGTTCAAGGTCTGCATTGAACAGTAGGGTAAGCTGAACTCATGGTTAGCACCAAGTAGCCTCTGCTAAGGGAAGAAGAAAACTGTATAGACTTATAACCAGGTAAAATCTGACTGATGTTAAAGTAAAGAAAGGCCCTAACAGAGCTTTTAAAGTAAGTAATCAGCCCTGGCCGGTTTGGCTGAGTGGTTAGAGCGTTGGCCTGCGGTCCAGAGAGACCCAGGTTCAGTTCCCGTTAGGGGCATGTGCCTTGGTTGCGGTTTGTCCCTGGTCCTTGTTGGGTCGTGCGGGTGGCAGCCACTCAATGTGTTCCTTTCACATCGATGTCTCTCTCTCTCTCTCTTCCTCTCTCTCCCTCCCACTCTGTCTGAATAAAAAATGGAGAACTGTCCTCAGGTAAGGATTAAAAAATAATAATAATAATAATAATAATAATAATAAATTAAATAAGTAATCAAAAGAGAACATAGTACATAGAACTTAACAACAAAAGAAAGATAACTTAAAACTTAAGCTATTTCTAAGAAAGAGAAGACTTTTTAATAAGGAGAAATATTTTTTTAGCGGGAGTAAGAAACAGTTTTTGTTTGTTTGTTTTTTAGTATACATCCTTTAGTTTTCCTTTACACATAATAAGGCAAGAAAGAAAATGTCAATATAGACTATAATTAAGGACATTTTCTTTTTCTTTTTAATTCAGAAAGGATTAAGTTAGGTTAAAAAAAGTAGCTTCCTCTTCATAAACGCTGATTTAGCAATTGTTTGATATGAATTCCTCACCTAGGAAGCTGCTTAGCACATTTTTTTTTCCTCTTGATTCACTGTCTGATTCATCACAGAGACAGGATGAGCCAATTCTGGACTTCACT